TTCCCATCAACTACTGCAAAAATAAATACTTCTTGAACATCTTTTATGTTCACAGTACTAGGCTAGGCTAAAAGTGCAAAGAAAGTGATGGCCTTTACAATCTACATCAATAAGGCATGCAGAAATGCTTAATAATGATTATGATTACATAACACAATAGAGGCATGTCATAAAGAGCTTTCACAGGAGTTGAGCTGAACACAGCAGAGAATGAAGTTGGATTTGATCAAGACAGAAAATAAAAATAGTAGTCATTAAGTTTAACAAGGCAGAGAAGAGGCAAGTAGGTTGCAATGTCCTTTGGGTTCTCATAGCACATCACTCATCTGTTATTGCATTTAACACACTGTAAGATGGTTTGTCATCCCCACTTAAGACTGTAAATTCCTCAAGCACAGAGACCTTGCTCAATTCATTTTCTATCCCTAATCCCTCGCACTGGGTCTGGCACACAGAAGATAATCAACACTTGTTTTTTGACCAGGCAAGGTAAGGACAAGATTCCCTATTTAACTTATTGTACTTTAACCTACACCATTTTGCGTAGATCACTGACTCATTGTCTCTCAACTCCAAAACCACCATTCTAGATTCTGCTCTTTGGTGCTGGGGCTCAGACTGCACAATTGTATTTCACTGACTCTTCTGCCACTCTCCCTGTTAGACTTTGACTGTAGAGATAGTAAAAGGAAAACTGGAAAGCAGAAAGAGGGGTGAAAGGACTTCCTTCCAGTTCCTGGCAGCAGCAATTGCAGCCCCTCACCCCGGCAGCAACAACAGGTTTCAGTCTCTAGCTTCTCTGGGTACTTTTGGGTACTTCCAGAACCTGATCAGCAGCTGAACGATGACCTCCTCAAAGGTTCAGAACCAGGCTAAAGGAATCTCTTTTCTGAGCTCTTAGGTCGATTACACTGCAATGTTGTCTTTTTGCTCTTACAACCATTTAACCAACTCCCTATATTAAATCTCCTCTGTTGAAATTCTTACTCAAGTTACTGTTTTCTCTACTAGAACTGTCAACTCTCCTTTAAGAGATCATGCTGCTTCACTGAAGAGGAAAGTAAATTTGGAACTACTCCTAAAGATAAAATCTATTTTATAAAGGATAACTCAAAACCCTTTAAATTTGTCTGCTGAGGGGTGCCTGGCTGGCTCAGTTGGTGAAGCATGCAACTCTTGATCTCGGGATTATGAGTTCAAGCCCAATGATGGGTATAGAGATTACTTAAAAATAAAATCTTAAAAAAATTTGTTGAGTTGCACCATAAAAATAATTTAACTTTTGTGTTTTAAACTATCCAACTTAGAAAAAAAGAAAGGAAACGAGAAATATTTAAGTAGCACAAGGTACCCCAAGCACACACAACCACCTCCTTTTACTAGAGCACGTATCCTAGAGAAAATGTGAGATGGTAAAGCTGATCTGCTGCTCTTCAAAGGTCTCAGCTCCCACAAGCCTCTCCTCATGTAAGCATGACCAGCTGAATGTGATGCTTATATTTAAATACATTTTTGGCAGGGCACCTGGCTGACTCAGTCGGTGGAGCATGCAACTCTTGTTCTCGGGGACATGAGTTCGAGCCCCCAGAGTTTACTTTAAAAAGTAAATATTTTTTAAAATAAAAAAATACTTTTTTTTTTTTTTTTGCTGCTGTTCAACATGGCCTCTAAATGCAACAGAAAGCTGTTTCTTTTGTTGAACACTAATCTGTTCCAACACTAAAGCTAAAATGAACTTACTGGCATATTGTTCTCCCTTCCTACAGGATTTTCAAGCATCATTTTTTTTCTACCACGTGTGACTTTCATTTTATGCATCATCTTTAGAATCTAACCTCTTCAGAAAATACAACTCCACTCTATATAGCATAGAAACAAAAAGAAATCCCCCTGGCAGGAGAGTCTATAATCAATACATCTGTTGAAAATAAATGTCCAAAATGCTTTGATAGTTTTCACATGGTCTGTTACTTAATAAAATATCCTCATTAGACAATTTAATCTGAGGTTAGCTACAAAAATAATTTTTCATTACTGTACTTAGCAAACTTATTTTTTAAAATTATGACAAAATGGAAGATAGGGAGAGGCCTCAAACATATTGTTAATCCATTTCTAAATGAAATGGGAGAAAGCAAATTGAAGCAATAGGAATCTTTCTTGGAATTTTTAGTAATGTATATAGCTGAGCTTCCAACATAAGTATCACTAGGCCCAGATGTACCAGTCCACTTCAACTGCCTATAACATCTGTAAGGCAAAAGTGAAAGGAATTTTAAACTTGAAAATCCATGGCCAGTTCCACTGGAGTTCCTCCTAGAAGCATAAAACTGGATAGTGGGCCACCTACTCCCCTTACCATCTACATCTATGAAGTCAGGGACTCATTACCCAGCTCCTGCTCTAGTTGTAGACATACTAACACCACCTTCTACTTAGTACCAAGAGTCCTATTACCAGTCAGTATGTCCAGGTAAAATCAACCAAACTGTATTCCTTACAACAAGAAACACCCAAGGTCCCATCTGACACATTAGGTGGAAACCTAGGGATAAGGGGGGATAAACAGGGTATCTTGACCTACAGAGAGGGAATGGACAGGGCAAATGTTATTGTACCTTTGCACCCCCAAATTCTATGGGGATCTACTCAGTTAAATGCAAATAAACATTCAATAAGTTACTGTAATAACGAAGATTTCAGAGAAATGGAAAAAAAATGAAATTAACTGGTGTCTAATAACAAGGTCTTCACACCATGTGTAATAAACACTAATTAATCAAGTGTAGATCTGTATGTGGGCAGAATGTGCATAATCCCACAGTATTTTTCTTTTTAAAAAATGGCAAACTGTGATGCATTTTTAGTTTCTCCAGATTTAATAAATGAGTTGCTACAAAATGAGGTGCTTTAAGTCATACTAAAAATGTGTCCATAACTTTAATAAAGTACATTTTAATGTTAATTCACTTCTCTTGCTGGAAGGAATTATGCTTCTTTGCTAATGCATAGAAATGAAACTGTCACTAAAACATCTGGTTATATATTATTCATTAGACATAAATCACCTTTACTCCAAAGACCACATAATAAAAACACAAATCATGAATAAATCAGAGAAAGACCTGACACTATACACTTAAGGTCAATAATACAAAAATGAAATTCCTAAGATATTTGCTGACCTGCTCTATACAGTATTTCTATCCACATAAACCTAGGAACTAGCTGTCTGAGTGCTCAATACAGGCAGAGAAAAACTCAAAATTCTCAGAATGTCTCAGTACTTTAAATGTCTGCATTGTCTACATATTAGTGGCTCTAATTTGAAATTTTTCTGTGTAGCACATTTGAGGACCACCAGCATATTTTTAAAATACTCAGACTAGCCTACTCAGGCAGTTTCCTTCATAAATTCTCCATTTCACTCACACCTACTATAATTAACCTCAAAGGTGGATTCCACAAGGGTACCTGAAGGAAATAACTCAAATCCTCCAAAAAAGTAAAGGGCGATATTTGCTGTGCTATCTCTGGAAAATGGAGTCTTATATAACTACCCATTATTTTACTTTAAACACGTTAAATGTACAATCAAGATTTTAAAAGATACCTGTTGATTGTGACAAGTAGAAATTTCAGTGGAAAAAAGGAATCACCAAAAGTCTTATTGCTGCCATTTAAATTCTTTGTAAATCAAAGGGTCAAATGTTCATTATAGAAGCCTGATCTGACACCAATCTAAGTTATTAAAAATTCAACAACTATACCCCAATGCAAGTAGGAAAAAGTAGATTATCTACCAATTACACTAAGTATTCCAGCTTATCGTCTTGGAACTCACCAAAAGTAGATTATGTAACGCAAATCACTCAGACATGAGTTTTAAACATAATTCTCATCAAAGCCACGTCTCAATTTTTTTTAATTTTTAAAAGTAAAGCGTATTACCAAAACACTGAATGCAAGCCTATTCTTTTCATAGCAAATTTCTTCACACACCTCAAGGAAACCTAACATTTCCAAACCACTCTACCCCTTAAAGGCACAAAATCTCTCAAACTTTCTGACAGCCATGCAGTATATACCCAAAAAGGCTTGAAGACGGTAAGACCATAATGGTCTTAGCGGGCAGATGATCGGAACGAACCTCGAAGTTTCAAAGACCAATTTTTACTAACAGTATCTCTGGGAGCAAGGAGACTACTTTTACAGGAGGGAAAGTATCTTGACAGCCTGGGCTAGGGCTCCCTGGCGACACCCAGTACCAAAGATCTCAGCGTCAACGACTGGATTCAAAACGCGAAGCTTCCATCAGAAACAAACCAAGACAACCCCTCCCCCCACGACTCCTTCGGGGCAACCTCGCGGTTTTAGAAAGCAGCAACAGATACTCGCCGGCAGGCAGGCGGCACTCCAGGAATGTTTTAACCAGGAGGGGTCTCCCCGCAGCCCACCAGGAACCCCGACGCCGAGTAGCGCCTTGCGAACCGAGACTCCAGCACCGCGGGGGGGAAAGGGGGCATTCTGCACTAAGCGCCCCTACCCCACCCCCACGGTGCAGACACATACCCCTGGGCAGCGAGGGGGAAGCCCGGAGGAAAAACCCCACATTCCACGCCGCTGGCCTCGGAGAGCCCCCGCCCCGGGAGGCGAGGGGGCCGCACGGCGGCCCCGGCCTCCGCTCTAATGAGCGGACAGCGAGGGGTTCCCAACGAAGGACGGAATTCAATCCCTGACCTTCTACTGGGTCCTCCGCAAGCCGGACCCACCACCTCCGCCGAGACCCTCGAAGAAATGGGAACAATGAGAAGCTGCCTCCCCCGCCATCCCCGCCCCGAGAGCGGCCGGGGGCGGCGGCGCCATCTCCCCTCACACCCCCCGCGGGCAACACACCCCCGGCCCCCAGGCCGCCGTCAGCCGCCCGCAGCCCCGCCGAGCCGACGCACGTCCCGGCCCGCAGTTCCCGCGCCCTTCGCCTCCCCGCCCGCCCCACTCACCAGCTCCTGCCCCAGCCCGGGATTCCGCTGGCCGTGGCCAGACCGAGACTCAGGTATAAGCCGCCGCGGCTGCCGGCGCCGCCGCACAATATGGCGAGTCTCGGCTTCCGCAATGGAGCTCGGGAAATACAACAGGGGCCGCTCAATATTCATGAGAGACTGAAGGGAAGCCGGCTCGGCCGGCGCTCCGGGGAGGGCGGGAAGGAGCGAGCGAGCGAGGGGGCGGAGGCGCAGGACGGGGACGTGCACCGCGCGGGGAGGCTCGCGGCGCGAGGGGAGGGGGCGCCGCCGCGTGCTGGCCTGGAGGGCGCGAGCCGCCCCTCCCCGGGCCGGCCGGCCCCGCCCCCCAGCGCCCTTGGCGGGGTCGACGCAGCCCCCGGGCAACGCCCGGATGTCGACGGCGCCGCCTCGTTCTCGTCGTTCAGGCTGTTTGTGCTCTTCTGCCCCTGCCTCGGCCCACCCATTACGCCTCCTTGGTTGGGGTTTGGCCTCAAGAGTTCTGCTCTCTGTGACTGCCTCCTGTTCTTACACCCATCCCACCTGGTAGACATCGTCATTAGGCATTCAGCTCTAGAACTTCACCTGAACTTCGGCCCTCTGCCTCCCCGTTCAACAAACACTTACCATCCTGGCAGAGTGAACCTACAAGATCTATTATTCCAGGGAAAATGACCTTCTATTCTAGAAGTATATTGTTGGACGTCTGTAAGTATTCCGATTGTTTTCATCAGCTCTATTATACCTTGCCGTTTTATTCCTGCCTTCTTGGCCCCTTCCAGTATTATCTTCTGAACTTGAGAATATAAGAATAGATGAAATAGATGTAATTTTTACCTAAAACACAACCAATTAGTCTACCAAAAAATTATGTAAAATGCGTATAAATTAAGCGATAAACTGAAGAAGTAACAAGCGAAAGAGTTCCCTGACCTCAAGGTATACTATTGGTGAGATGTCCTTTTTCTCTTGACAAGATAACCAACAAAATCAGAGAGTAAATATGAAGGCATTTGTGATATAAAGAAATGGACGGCCCTATAAAACTAGGTTTATAGCCTCCAGGTTGTCTCTAACCATTTGACTTAAGTAAATTGCATAACCTCTCTGGACTTAATTTTCCTCATTTGCAAAATGAGAGGATTGTGTTGGATGATTCTTTGGTCTTTTCCAGCTTTTGAACTTTCTAAAACTCTCCAAGCAATGCCAAATAAATGGTATGAATTTACATAGCATTTTGGAAAAGAAAAGGATCGATTCCAGCTGGTGTGTTGAAGGAAGATTTCCTAAGGAGCTAGGATTTGAGTAGTACTGTGCCAGATAGTTTTTGGATGGGTAGAAAGAGGACAGGTGTTAAAATATTAAAGACAACACGTTATGTATCCTACCTAACAATACATTAAAGTAAACGAGCAAAGCATTATTTTTCAGTGACTTGAAAACGTTCACCTACTATCTATAGCTTTAAATAAAAAAATGACAATTCTTGGGAGCCTGGCTGGCTCAGTGGGTAGAGCATGCAACGCTTGAACTGGGGGTGGTTAAGTTCCAGCCCCATGTTGGGCTTCGCGCCTCCTACTTAAAGAAAGAGAGGGAGGAAGGAAGGAAGGAAGGAAGGAAAAGAAATGACAATTCTCAGACTCCACAAGCCCTTCAAGGTTAAGCTCTTTCTCCAGTATGAAAAAAAAAAGTCAAAATACAGATGGTCCCCAATTTACAATTCCATGTATGACTTTTCATCTTAACAGTGGTTGAAAGTGATACTATTCAGTAGAAACCGTACTTCAGATTTTGAATTTTGATCTTTTCCTGGGCTAGCTATATGTGGTAGGATATTCTTGTGATGCTGGGCAGCAGCAGTGAGCCATAACTTCCAGTCAGCCATTTGATCAGGAGGGTAAACAACTGATAAACCTACAAACACTTTGTACCTACCTATATACAACCATTCTATTTTTCACTTTCAGTACAACATTCAATTATATGAGCTAGTCAACACTTTAGTATAAAATAGGCTTTGTGTGAGATGGTTTTGCCCAACTGTAGCTAATTTAAGTGTTCTGAGCACATTTAAGATAGGCTATGGTGTTCAGTAGGTTAGGTATATTAAATGGATTTTGACTTAGAATATTTTCAGCCTCCACCAGCTTATCAGGACGTAGCCTTTTCATGAGTCCAGGAAGAACTATAATCAAGGCATGCTTCTTATAAAGGTCCTTATAAAGGTCCACTTTCTAGAGATAGTGCAGGTACAGAACCATCCCTTCTTTATTCATGACGACTGCATGTGTAGTTCAATTAAGGGTGTTGATAATTCAGAACCTTTTGCTCCAGTTATGCCTGTGAAGATAATGTGTGGTTAGATTAAGAAATTCAATTGATGTTGCAAAAAGTGATCATTTGTAGAAAGCACAGGAACTTTATAGATAAAAGTTAAATATAGGGGCGCCTGGGTGGCTCAGTCGTTAAGCGTCTGCCTTCGGCTCAGGTCATGGTCCCAGGGTCCTGGGATCGAGTCCCACATCGGGCTCCCTGCTCGGCGGGAAGCCTGCTTCTCCCTCTCCCACTCCCCCTGCTTGTGTTCCTGCTCTCGCTGTGTCTCTCTGTCAAATAAATAAATAAAATCTTTAAAAAAAAAAAAAAGTTAAATATAGTACTTAAAAAAGATTCACAGGAGAATTAGTGGGAAAATGGAAAACTTATGGGTTATCTGGATTAAATGTGATTAAAAAGCTAGACCTCAGGCTAGCATCCTTAATATGAAAGACACTACTGTCAAATTAATGGAACTCATATTATCTATTATATCTCTTACTCAAAAACTTGGCATTGAGGGTGCTATGGGCCTCACCTGTCTATATTAATCAGGAAAGATTTTGTTATGGTATAGTAATAAAATTTCCAAAATCTCCATGCCTTAACACAACAGAAGTTTATTGCTTATTCATGCTTCAAGCTTCATATGGATCGGACTCCCTCCGTTCTGGTCACTCCAGGAACCAGATTGATAGAGGGTCCACCATTTTGTAGCTATCTCACCTAGATCACAGCTACTGAGTTTCTGTGGCAGAGGAAGAGACTAAAGAATCCCCATGAACTTTTCATAGCCTTAGATTGGGAAAAAAAACAAATTACTGATCGAATTTCATTGGCCAAAACTAGTTACTTAGCCTCCCCCATCTGCAAGGAGACTGAGTCCTTGTACCAAGTCAAGAGAAGTAGGATATTGATGAACAATACTAATGTTACCCACCCTGACCCCACCAGTGAGCTCCTATATATTATGAAAAAACTCCAAGAAGTTTATTCCATAACACTGGAATTTATGCTTTCAAAAGTAAACTCTCTGTACTTGTTAAGAGTTGACTATCATGTAAATAGAATGGACCTTCCATTTTCTTCCCCTTTGTTTTAGTTGTATATTAAATCAATGTCAGTCTGTCTAGTGATTTGACATAGCCAACCTACATTCCTTTTGCTAATTTTTTGACCTGACCTAAGGGATATTACCCTTAAAAACATTTTCTACTAATACTCTCCTCCCATGTTACATGTACTAATTGGAAGTCATAATCATATTTTGAGTAGGAAAATGTTAAATTAACACTACATAATACAAGTATCATACTATAGGTAGATGACTCCATGAACTCTAGGTTAAAAAGATTCTTTTAGGGGCGGCTGGCTGGCTCAGTTGGAGGATTGTGTGACTCTTAATCTTGGGGGTGTCAGTTTGAGCCCCATGTTGGGGGTAGAGTTTACCTAAAAAAAATATATATATTATTTTTCCCTCAAAACTTGAGAAGTAGTACCCTATTAATCACATGGTGAACTGAGTACAAAAATCATTTCTGATCACAAAATTCACAGCTTTACTAGCTTTCTGCTATGGTAATGCTACAAAATTAGATTAGTTCAGCTCAACCAAGTTTTATTGAGTATCTACTATGTGCCAACACTTTGCCAAGTTCTTGGAATAAAGCTATTAATGTGAGTAGGGCATAAGTTCCTTGAGAGCAGAAATCATGTCCACCAGTGTATACCTAGAGATTAGCGTGATGCTTGGCATATATACTAGATGCTCAATAAATAAATGTTAAGAGAATGAAAGACAGAATCTTTGATCCCAGTGTGTATATGAAATAGAGCAATACATATGAGCTTGGTTTGCCTCACTTTTATCACTTATGAGCAGAAATTTCTATTAAGATTGCCATTAGTCCTTGCGGAGTCTTTCTCTAGGCAGTGTGTTTGAAATGGGAATTTATACATGCCTGTTCTATATATACCACATGGATTTCTTTTTGGCTGTGCTCCAAATATCTAACTGATACCTGCTCTTCCAAAATGAAGATTGCAGGCCACCAATAGCCTGTTAAAAATAAACTATGTACGTGTCACAGTTTCTATAGCACATTTATGTTAATTATTTCAGGGAATCTTCAGATCAGCCCTCCAAGGTATTATTCCTACTTTATAGACAAGAAAAAATGTGACTTCTGTGGTTAACTACCTTTTGCAAACATTGAGCTCATAAGTGGCAGAGCTGAGGCTCAAACCTAGGTCATCTGAATTCAAGCCCGGGGATACTTCCCTTTATGCCACAGGTGCCTTCCCACTCGATGCTGCACACACAACTCCAGCATTTTCCTTCTTTCTAATGGGTAAGCAGCGGTAAAAGACAAACATCTCCAGAGCTTCCTCTCAACACTAGTATTATTCCAATCCTCAGTGCTGTCTATTTTTAAGAAGCTAGAGATGATGTTAAATGTAACTGTATAAACCTGACCCATTGACAGAAAACCAGCAGGTCTTGTTTTTTTTCCTTAGAAAATTTGCTTTAAGAAAACAAAACAAAATTAAAAGTTAGATCAGAAGACAGGAATAGCTTGGGATTTAATCACCATCTATATATATACTGTTGTCAAAATATATCTTCTACCAAAATCTTTATTTGCCATTGTTTAGATGTGTTGTGCTTTCTTTGAAAGGGTCAACTTAAGTAGGGATGTTAGAGAAAGGCCTAAAGAGACCTATAATTCAAGGTGGCTTCAGGAAACCAGCAACTCAAGATTTACAACCTCTTCAGCTGAAAAAATATAGCTCTAGCCACAGGCTTTAGTGAAGTTTTATTTGTTTTTCAGTGTAGTGCATTTCTTTTTGTGACATTTCCCTTGGTGTTTTAGTTCGTTCCTTTTTATATTCCCAAGACGACCAAAATAATTGGTGCTACTCTTCACTACTCAACTCGAAGGAGTTAAACAGATTAAATGAGATG